ATATCCCTACGTCATCCTCAATTTCTTGTAACCCTGCAGCTTTTGATAGCGATTCGAGTTTACACCGTTGTGGTGTAACTTGCTACACTATGATGGGGGTCTGAGAGCGAAGTCATACTGCTGCTAGCTGGATGGGATGTGACAGCAGTAAGGTGTTTCCCTTGGATGACCAGCAGTATCATGCTGATGCTGCCTTCTCAGTGGAAGGGGGGGGGGTTAAAAAAAGTCGGCCCCAAAAATAACATACTCCACCATGCCCCACGGTCTGCCGGGCCGGTGGCGTTGGTTCATTTGTCGTTTCCTTCCGACCATCCGGCCCCAAAAATACAAAAGTTCAAAATAATCATACTCAAAAGGTTTCGTGTGACAGGCCTCAACCAGATGTCCGATGGGTTCTGCGGTCACACAAATCTCTTTCAGGTACCTTAAGAAGAAATAGCCTTCCACGGTGTGGGCAGCCGGGAAGTGTCAACCGCCCTCACAACTCTGTCAGCACTTAAGTTTCTTCAGACTGCTATCCATCTCCTCCATCATTACCTTCTAATCTTCCTTCACGTCTCTCAATTAACGATGCTACATCATCTTCAATTTCTCCTAGCTCTGCAGCCTTCAACAACTATCTGAATCCACAGAGCAGGATTCCTGGTCTCCCTACACATCGGGACCTTCAATGTCCGCACTCTCCGTCAAATTGGTCAACAGGCTTCATTGGCAAAGACTCTAGCAACTCGGGCCATGGATGTGTGCTGTGTTTGTGAGACACACACACAGGATCCAAGTGCGGTTATTCACCTGACCTCTCCCGACCACAAAATTCACCCTTCGAGTTTTTGGAGATTCGATGGCTAGCTCTCGCGGTTTTGCAAGTGTAGGGATTGCATCAAGCACTAGGGCAGAAAACTCATTACTAGACTGGATCCCAGTTGATAGTCGCCTCTGCACTATGAGGCTGAATGACACAGTGAGAACTAAAAGGAACAGTGAAACTCGCCATTGTCTCTTTGTAATCTTTGCTTACGCACCCATTGACTGCAGGTCGGATGAAGTGAAGGACGATTTCTACCGAAGACTGTCTAACCCCCTCTCGAAAGCCAAACGTTCAGACGTGGTGGTTATTGCAGGTGACTTTAGTGTACAAGTGGGTGGACTGAGTGAGGCAGAAAGGCACTGAGGTGGCACTTTCGGAATCCCAGCTGAACGTACAGATAACGGTGATCGCCTATTACAACTATGCTCAGATAACCGCCTATTTTTAGCTAGCACTGATGAAAAGTCTACGCAACGATCGCGAACAATGGTGGGCAGCGAAGGCTAAAGAGATGGAAAAAGCGGCGGCGATTGGTAACAGTAGACAGTTATTTAGACTTAATAAGGAGACTGGGGGGAAAAGATCAACAACAGTTAGTGAAGCTATAGGGGAGAAGGACGGATCTGCGATTTTACTCACAGAGGAGACGACTGGAACGATGGGCAGAATACTTCGGGGAGCAGTTTAACTGGCCTCCAGCCACCATTGCGTTGCCTGAAATCCAGTCGGATCCTCAATGGGACATAGAGATAGGTCTCCCAACACTAGAAGTTGAGAAAGCGGTAGGTAACCTGAAACGAGGAAGGGCGGCAGGACCAGACGGACTACCTGCTAAGATATACAAGGATGGTGGTGAGGTGCTCCTAGTCAGGTTAACGGAAGTGTTAGCTAGTATATGGGAATCAAATAGTATCCCCTCTGACTGGTCTAAGTCACTGATTATCCCAGTCTTCAAGAAAGGCGAGAAGTCCTCTTGTGATAACCACAGGGAAATCAGCCTGACGAACATGGTATCTAAGATCCTAGGTTCTATAATTCTCCAACGTCTGAGTGGAGCTCGGGAACAGCATGCCCGAGAAAACCAAGCAGGCTTTAGAGCCGACCGCGGTTGTATCGACCAAATATTCACACTGCGCCAGGTTCTGGAACACAGATACGCTTACAGACGCCCGACACTAGCTGTATTTCTCGACCTGAAGGTGGCATTTGACTCTGTTGATCGAGAAGTCCTAGGGCAATGTGTCACTGAAAGGCGTGCCTAGTAAGTACATCACCTTATTGAAGACTTTCTACTGGAACACCTATGGGTTTGTTAGAGCCTATGGTGAGATATCCAGGGAGATATGCTCATCGAGTGGTGTCCGTCAAGGATGCCCACAGTCTCCATCCTTATTCAATTTTGTCATAGGTATTCTTATGGAGGTCTCCCTCTCGTCACCTGACTACATAGAGCTTGACCTAATAGCAGGAGAATTTTCGTTAGACCTAGAATACGCAGATGACATAGTCCTGTTAGATGAAGTCGCTGACAGGATGGTAAGTCTTCTGGACACGTTGAGTGAGAATTTGAGAATGTTTGGGATGCGTTTCTCACTACCCGGATGTAGATTGTTGCTCCAGGATTGGTCTTCAACGGTGCCCCACCACGGCTAACAATAGAGAGTGTAGTGGTTGAGTGTGTTAACCACTTCACTTACCTGGGAAGCGGAATTCAGCCCTGGTGGCTCAGTGGCTGATGAGATTTCTGCACGAATACAAAAGACTCAACTTGGCTTTTGCCAACCTACGCCACCGGTGGCGCCGCCGTGATATCCGATCCTCTATTAAGGGTCGCCTGTGCTGCACATCAGTCCGCTCTGTTCTACTCTGTGACTATGAAACATGGCAATTGAAGGTGGAAGACATGAGAAGGCTTCAGGTGTTTGACCACCACTGCCTTCGTAATAGAGGCCGTACTCTGTGGTGTCACCACGTGAGTAATGCAGAAGTCAGGAGTAGAGTTTTATGGAGAAGATGTTAGCGGTTGACGAGGTTGTGAACCTTCATTGACTGGGATGGTTGGGACATATGTTACGCATGCTTAGTCACCGATTGCCTTGTTACACAATGTTGACCGAAGTAGGTCCTGGCTGAAAAAAGGCCCGAGGTGGCCAGACCAAAACATGGCACTTATGTATGAAGTCCTTGATTGTTGGTTTGAGCCACGTGGAACGGTGCAGACTGGGTGGTTGTGATCTGCTGGACAAGAGGAACCAGTGGTTGGAGACTCTAGATGATATGGCTGAGAACCGGTGTCTGGTGCAGATGTATGCACACATTATCCTCATCTTAACGACGCTATACCGAATCTCACCATTTTGTCATTCCTCTTTTCTTCCTTCTCGTACTTTGTATTTCTTTTGACTGCATTCTCTTATCTTCATTTTTCACCTCATTACCTTTCTACTTGATATACTGTACTGAGCTGTGGCAACTCGGACTGTTAAGCAGTAATGCCTGGTCCTATGTTGATTTGGATGCATGAACGGATTCTTGTGTTTGTACGAATTTGTAATAATAAGCGTAATAATCATTAGCGCTTCTTTTATGTGCTTCAGTTCCTTGTTTAGGTCTTTTTACTGACTAGTCAGTTCTCTAGTTCTATGAGTTAGTCATTTGACTAAACCCGCCCTAACTGACATTGGATGAGATGATTTGAAGTCTGGATATCGGTTAGAATGTGTCGGTGTTCCTGTAGATGGTAGTATCCAAACCACCGTCTATCCTTAGTTTTTATCCTGCAATTCAACATAAGTAATTCTCCTTGTTCATTTTCTACCCCGTAAGTGAATTGGATTGCGCCTATTACTGAGTTTATACATGTGAGAAAACTGTGAATATGTCCTGATCTCATCCACACTTCGCCAGCTTATCTTAGGGATCACTTTGTGTTATAAATCAAATAAACAAATCTAGTATGGAACTTTAAGAAACAGTACATTCGGCGTTCGTTCAGTTTTTGGTTGTCTACTATCCAGTTGGATCTTGAATGCAACATTGAGAAAGGCACTCTAGCTCTTGCAGAAGTTGAGAAGGTTGTAAGTAACCTTAAAAGAGAAAATCCATATTACCTCTATTTGTCTTTGTTTTCAGTGCTAGTAGGAGTTTCCTCTTTTCCGTAATAGGTGTTGCTTCATCCAGCCTCTGTTTTAGGAATGACGAAACATCTATACGGGTACAGGTATTCTGTTTTGGATTAATTAGCCCGCATCATCTGTCGTTGGTAAGGTATTTGATTAGTAAATGATTAGCGTATTATACGACTTTCTGCTCTCTTCTAGTCTGCTTTACAGCTCAGGGAAGATTAATTTACAGGTTTCCGATCTAAGTTTCTGCGAAACATTGTTCGTGTTGTGGAACCGTGGTCTACACTGATTAGATTACGCTCAAGGTATTTGACAAAGAGCAACCAAACGATGAGAGTGTGCACCGACTGAAGCTCCACGAACATGCACTACACATTTTTAGTCAGTCTGTCGTGACTCACTATTTTGGTCATAGGTTGAAAGAAAGTTAGAACTGACTTTGCTACAGTAACAAAATATCAATGCATGAAAAGTGTAATTGTTAATGTAAACCGTGTTACAACTATTAGTTGAAGGGTGTTGGAAATGCGGTTTGAAACTGAGGCAATGACACCTATGCATTTTCTCTTTATTATCTTTGAAATTCTGAATATCCTACACATCATTTTTCTTTCATATATGTTGGTATGTCACTTTATTTTATTGCACTTTCATTTGTTTCATTTTTCTGATTTTCATTATTTTAAAGTGTATAACTTGAAATCACACACTGTTTTATATCGTCGTACGCTATTGTGTTTGCTACTTTGGACTTTCATATTTCAGTGTATTTAACTATTTTATAAAACAGGGAGCCTTGAGATGCGTATCCTAAATGATAAGTTAATGTTCAGAAGAGAGGAGATTAGAAAACCAGATAAGCAGCTAGGTAAGAATTTCCCGTGAACTTTTACCAGTCCCAAAATCGAGGACACGAAAATTGTGTAGTGTTTATCAGTAACAACGTCCTAATACAAGCTATTATAGCTAATTTACCATACTTTTGTAGAAGTTAGATTTGATTTTCCGAAAAATTCGTTTCTTGCCAAATGAAGTCATTTGTCTTATGTTGAAATTTTCTATCATAGAAGTGCTTTGCAACGTAAAAAAAGGCTGAAATTACTTAGTGGTTATCATATCAGTATATGACGGAGCCTCAAGCTGTTCGTCGAAAGCGTGCTTTATCATTCGCTGGATACTCAGAGGTATGTTTGAGCCGTCTTTCTCTTATAGCTGTTTTTCACCTTTTTTTGCCTGAATGCCTACCACGTTTCCATCTTACCTTTCTAGTGAGGTTTGTGTCACCAATTCTAGCGGTTAATAATGATTTATAAATACTGAGGGGTAAATGAAAGATTCATTTCATTTCACCTTCAAACATCGCCTAGTATCAAGTCTGTATATATATATATATATATATATATACATATATATATATATACATATATATACATATATATATATATATATATATATATATATATATATATATATATATCTTGGATGGGGGCAATCGGTAGGAAGCCTTACATGGCCTAGGTTTTGTGCCTGTTGGCATTTGTCAGCCAGAAGGCATGTTATCCATAGAATTTGGTCAGCATTCAGGAATAGATGATATGAAATTGGTTACTCTTCAGTGACCAGTATATAACTTCCCATGACGGCTCATCAGATATCAGTGGCTAGTTTCTTTCTTGGATCTGGTAATAGCGCTCAGTCTATCCATTTATTTTTGGATTCGATTACGCATTTCAGTATTGCCATAGTGGACAGAAATGCAGCTTTTCAATTTATGGATTAGGAAGCTACTGGCTTTCCATTTGCTTTTGCCTATAATTTTAGTTGACAGTAAATTATTAGTTCGATAGTGGCTGTTAGTATTATTGGAAGTTTCATTTTATGTGTATGAGTTGCAGTATGATGTTACTAAATAAAGATAAAAACTAGTCAGTCTTCTCGGTTGAGGAGTTTCAGGGGGTATTTATCACTGTAGTGAAGTTCGCGATTACATTTTTTAACCAAATCAAATCGTGTCATTTTCGGTTTATCAGTTGACTGCCATTCTGTCATCATTCCGAACAATCAAAAATGGTTTCCGCAAGGAATAGGTTCCTATTTCCAGCAATTGAGGTCTACGCACTGCTTAATCGACTGTTTAAAATTATCGGGTGAGTTTGGTATTCAGAATGCAAATGGACCTTCAACAACTCAATAATATTGATATCCAGTTTCTTTCTTTTGCATTCACATCCAAATCATATGGTTTTCGTTTCAGTTATTTCGAATGATGGTGAAGTGTGACTTCACACTTTTCCAAAACACTGTTTGCACAAGTGCAGTTATTGAGATTGGCAGCTATATGCAAGTAGTAATGAGGAGATTGAGGAAGATGCAGTGAATTTAATGTTTGAAGTAGTTGAGATTTGTTGCTTCAGATGAGGATGATCATTGTTTGATGTCCTCCGAGCTTTTAGGTTTGTTCTTGGGTGATTCATCACCGTACTAGACAACTTCGTCAGCATCTACTTCATAGAAATGTTCTGTGACCAAGTTTTACAAATTTGTTTATTGTAATCTTTTTCGACCTCCCAAAGATAAAAAGCTCTTGTTTTCCACCTTTAGTTGTGGTAAAGGACTTTGTCGTATTCCTTGACTCTACTGCAACACTTAGCAGTGTTTTCATTGATTAACCATATAAACATTCTTTATCACTGAACGTAGGGTTTTTTGAAGGTATTTGTTTTATTCCAGCTGATTTGAAAACCAACATTCACACAGACATCAGCCAATTATCACAGCTAGATCACATATGTGCAACTATCAGTCTGGTAATATCAGGATGATTCAGACCATCACTGCAAACATTACTGAAATCCTATCTATTGATGTAGTCTTTCTCAAGCAAATGTGCATATATATCACTGATGATGACCAACACATCCTTCAAAAGTGCTATTGTAGCTGTATCAGGGAACATATAATCTGTCGGATTATCATTTTATGTTCTGCAGCCCTTATTGTCAGTTTTACTTTCTTAGTCACTTGTCTTCTGACAGTTTTATTTCGATGCTTTAGAATCGATTTCGTATACTGGCCCCAAATTAGTGAGTAGATAATGAGAAATTACAATTGCAAAAAATGAGTCAATTCAGCAAATGTTGTTGCTGGTGAGTTTGTAGTGGTAATCTGTGGTCCTGTGATAATTGCTTAGAAAACCCGAAATGTTGTTAAAGCTAAAATCGAATTGATATCAGGTAATGCATGGTTAGTATAGTAGGTCGCTCACTTGTACATAAGATATTTAACAAAACAATTGTGAATAAGATTTGTTATTTATAAGTATAAATGTAATATAGCTCTGAGTGGTTAAAATGTCACTTCATTTTCTTGAAGCCTAATTTCACTGGATATTCAGTGATTAGTGAATGTTGTTTAGCACCCATTAAATAAATTTTGGTCTTGCTTATTTTGTGCTGAATATGTTGCATGTAAGCAAGTGTTTGTATTGAAGTGAATAGTGTTCAGTTATCCTGCTTTCTGATATTTATTCACAGTTGATATTAGTCATAACTTGGCCATTCCACGTGAATACATATTAGTTAGTAAAGGTTCTGAACATTCATTCATCTTTTCATCGTGCCATAAGTATCTTACAGGCTACCAATGGTTCATGTTCAAATTAGATTATATCCTTGGTAATAAAAGTGTTTCACTGTTTTTATAACTGACTCTCTAAGGTTTAAAGCGATGATTGTACTTTTTGAACTGCATCAGAAGCATCAAATTTTATTAACCTGTTAGCACACTCAAGTAATTTAATTTAGAAGCAAGGAGCAAAAACCAATGTTTTTTTTACTATTTAGAATTAAGATAAGTTTCTACCTGCATTGTATTGTCCTTGGGTTCTAAAATGTTGTGAGACATTTTTGGTGATGTATTGAGATAGCTTTTAGCTCGATGAATGCTCCTCAGTAATGACTGCTAAAAACCGATCACTTAGGATAATAAGCGTTAGTTGTTATTGTTTTTCGTTTTTTTTGTACTGTTTATTAGCTTCCCAAACTTTCCAGCAATGTTACAACTGCACAGCCACCCACCATCAGTCGAACTCGTCGCCCATCGTTTATGTGTTTTGGGGATCATTCAACTCCTAATGAAGTTTCTTTGGACATTTCTAACAAGTTGAAAAATGCAAATGATACAAACCTTTCGTTTTCCGGTGATCTTTTGTTGGCGAAGGATCCGTTAAGTTTCAAAAAGTTTGGAACAAGCAATTCTCATTTGTGTTCAAGAAAGTCTTCAGTCGCCACAGTTAAAGGTCATTTTTCATATAGCTGTGATCCGACTCCTAAAATGTCACCGAAGCAACAGAATTCTTATTCTGATTTGATGGACTTACCGTTGCAATCATTTGATCCGTCGTTACCTCATTATTCTGATTATATTCTCCCGAATGGTCCACTGTCTTCAAAGCTTGTTAAACTTTACCTTGCCAAGGTTTGTATAATGCTTACTTTGTCATTTTTATTACATTTAAGTAATTAGGGCATTAGGGGTATTGCAGTGCGGTGGCATAATTTACTATGAATGTACTGCAACCAACTTGATACTTGGGACACATTTTCATTCAAAGCCATTTATATTTTTGAATCAGTGAATTATGCACTAGATTTCCAACCATTGAGCTTAAGTTGCAGAACTTCTTGTCCTATCAGTTTGAACGACAAGACTATATAGTTAGTTTTCACGTGTTGGTTCTTCCTCGCTTTAGGTAAACATTTACATTGTATTTCTCATATTGGCCTTGTTTGTTTTATCATTTATTACACATAGTGGTTTAGGTATCTGTATATATATAGTAGAAATTACTGATAGCATATAGACAGACAGACAGACAGATGAATTCAACGTAGAACCTCTCACAGAAGTGAGTCGGCTCACGTTGCAACACTTCACAGTAGCATGCCGAGAACACGTGGATCGAACAATACTGAAATCAAGGTGGTTTACTTCATTTTTACAAGAGAGGATAGGAAGCTGTAAAATAGTTTCAATTTACTTTTGGTAATAACTTCTGGCAAAAGAAAGATCATTTCAAATATTCAAGAGCAAACAGTATACTTTTTACTATTCGACTGTCAATGATACTGTTGTATGCGAAGTGATGTCAGCGGAAACGCACAATGAATTATGAATTTTAACTTTTTATCAACATACATTACTGCTTCGTTCGCCAATGCTGGAGGCTATAGTTTCTTTTTTGGTTATTTTAAATCTCATTAGGAAATATTTGATTATTTGTGTTTGAAACTTCCAGTAAATAATAATACGATCGCCAGTTCGAATCCTGCCACGTTGCAGATTTTCGCCCCACCTTCAATCTACTCACTATCAATAATATGAGTGTCTGAAAGGCTACACACCTAATATATGTGCTGTTATGTCAGATGGGCTTAGGCAGCATATTTATGTTACTGATGTGGGATAGATCTTTGTTTTTCTGAAAAACACGGCTATAATCGCGCTACTGCCTATTTGTATATCTCTTTTTATTATGTAATATGTGTGTATCGATCTAGTCTATCACCTACTTCACTCGTTTTGATTTCCTAGTCGAATTCAGATTATTAGACATTGTTATTCAAAGTATTTGCTTCTTGATATTTCAAATCAGCTGATTTAGTCACATGGATTAAAATTATCACATGAATATCCTTTGGAAATATATTTTGGGTTGAATATTTTTGAATGTTTATATTTACCTAAAGCTTGGTGTATTTGGTCGCGACTTTTCCACTTATTACAGAATTTAGTGGTTTGCCTTATTTAGCAGATGGAAAACAAAAAAGGAATTTCTAGATGGGTTGTTGTTACTTACGTAGCATCGTAAAGAAATGAGTTTTTATTTTGACATCTGACCATGCTTGAAATTTCTATGGTGCAATGCAGTCTACAATAGCACAAGTAAATTGTTTATAAGCTATATCTATGTAATAAGGGTGTTCGATGCCCTCTGGTTTCTTAAGTCTATTTTAGGTGGGATCACCTCTAACATGTGAACCTTCATCTGTTGAAAATCGACCGTTCACTTTACTAAGCGCAACAATTGGTTGTTTTGAATAGTGGTTTAGAAAAATGCATTCGGAATACTCAGCAATCTGTTAGTCGTTGTTTGTGGTTTTGGGCTGCTCATTAATCTCAGCCAGTTTTTACTCCTTTCAACTGGAGCATCGTGTCTCTGTGATGCATCGTTATCAGAAGTTTCCTGAATTACAAACTTCATTATTTGTGAGTCTCGTGCACTCCCACACAGGTATGTCTGAGTCTGAAAGTCTCCACCATAGCATACCGTAACAGGGATGGTTTTGTAGTCGTAATTTTCATGAGAGTATGATTTTTAGATGGAGAATATTTATAGTTTAGGAGGATGATTTTGATGGTGTTTTCTCTAAGCTAGATGGTTTAATGGTGAAGCTTTCATTATCGTTCTCAACAACATCATCAGCACAAACCACAGAAGTTTGTCCTGATGATGTCTAGAATGACAATGAAAAGCTTCACGTTTATACTATCCAACTCAGCGGCTTTAACTGTCTTTACTTTCTCCCCCATTCAATATGGCACTTTAAACAAGCATTATGTTCTGCTATGTGTTCACTGATGAATGAACTGTCAGGTACTTCTTATTTATCTTCAGCATGAAAAAGTTCACCTAAATCTTTCAGTTATAAACTACTGGTCCAAATCTCAAGTGAGTTGACATACGGGCACCAAATGGAATTGTAAATTGGTGTTAGATGATGGAAGTCACTTGACACAATGCCCTGGACTTAGGTATCATGCTTGTTGACTATCATCAGTAGGGCGTATCTGCAACCTCTCGGTGATTTAAACTTGTATCGTTCAGTGCTGAAGTCAGAGATTTAACCACTTAACTATTCATATCATGGCTGACTCCTTGTACTACTGAATTATGAACACAATTTGGTCGTTATTTGGTAACCTATTTAGCTGTCTAGTCCGTAGTGTTCAGCAGTGAGTGAAACTGCCAACGAGCATGAAATCTAGTTTCAAGGCTTCCTGTCGACTGACTCCCGCCATCTAACACCAAGGTATAGTGCACTGCAGTGCTGCACCACTTCGACTAGTGGCCACATTGCAAAATGTGATCGATAGACTTCAATCAATGTTAAACATAAAGGACTAGTTGGCTACATGGGTTACTCACTGGTGACCAACTCGAGAGTTGTAAATATTCAATAAAATTTGAAAGCTTGGAATAATTTTTCAGCGCAGTTAGTAAAAAATGTTCAGGCTTTATCATCAGTTGACTCACTTGTTTAGATACTCAACTCTCAGTCAGTATGTCATATATTTAAAAACTATGCACCCACAGAGGTTCGGATACCGCTTAGTTGTGTAATGTGTATGAATTATTGCCTAGCATAAAAATTTGTACGAGTTTACTCAGCTATATATTCCTTCTACATCTTCAGCTACATGACCATCTCGCTTTTTTGCTAACTTCGAAGATTTTAGGTTTTGTGTTTCCGAAAATTGCTAATTCGTTGTACATACCTTGCAATATGTATATTTCAATAAGCTTTGTTTGAGTAGGTTACCTCTACTTCTATTCATATAGCTGATGAAATATTCTGTTACTTAAAGGTTCATTTAGCGTTCCCTACTTTACTCCACCTACGATTGTTCAAATTTTTCTTATTAGAGATTCTATGTACATAGATCTACTAGAGTACATTCTCTGCTGTGCATAGCAAATAAAGCTTTCAGCTAAGGAAGGTGTGCAGTAGTTGATTTTCACTTACTTATCATACGGTAACATGCATAGGATTTCACAAAATTATACTGTCAATAATTTTATTTGTTGTCGATATATAATATTCGTAAATCCAAGTATGCGTCGTATTAGTACTGAAAATATATTCACTAAGTAGTTTACTTTTTTGGCTTAATCACTTCTGAACCTACTCATAGTTTCGTTCGCAATTCAGTAGGTTGGTAGCTCAAGACATGGACTATTTGTATAAGCTAGTTTTCAAATTCTTTCCGTAGTTTAGCAGTAGATGCAGTTAAATACTCCGTCGTCGTCTTTCTGAAGAAACAACAAGTTTCCTAAGGACCTGGAAAATATCACCTAAGATTGACCGTGAGCTATACTACTATTTGTAAATTCTTAATTCTCACTATTCCCTTACTCAAGTAGCGTGCCACTTAAACTATGCGTTTATTTGACATAAAAAGAAGCATTCTGATTTTCCAACTGATAAATATTGACCATATTTTTGAGACTCTTTGGTTCTGTAAACGTTTGTTTGATGTTTTATTGGATTATTATATGAAAAGTTTGCTTAGTTATGAAGGTGAAGTTCTACGAATTATCGATTGCGTTAGTATTTTTACGCAAATGAACCAAATTATGACGTTTACGTAAGAACTTGTAGAAGATAATTTACATTTAAATACACACTTTCTGTTAAGTCTCACTAGTTTTTTCATCTCTTAGGCAAAATGATCTGTAATTTCGTGAATTTGTCGAAGAGTCGTAATGTATGAGGAGGATTGTATGTAGTTGGCAGTAATTGTGTATTGAGATGATTTCTTTTGGGAATGTTTTTCTTCCTTCTTATGGAATACTTACGTATATGGTCGAAACGTAAAGTTTGTATTAGGAACAAAACTAAGCAGTGGAGTGAATTGTTATTATTTTTTTTTATTGAGCGAAAAGTGCTTGGTGAGTGTAATTCGAAGACATTCCAGGTACTTGAGTTGTTCTGTTGCTTTTACAGTTAATAATGAGGATAAAATTGAAACTTGGAAATACGTGATTTCGTTACATAGGTGTACCAGTTAAAAAGAATACACCATAAAATTAAGAGGTGCCAAATAGAGGTCACATTTTGTTATTTGATCGATTAGTCATATATGAAAACCTCAAGTGACTTCAACCACCCAACACAAGATAACTGTTGTTAGTAATTCTTTTACCTCATGTCTTACTAATCCACCAGTAAATTAGGATTCTGACAACTGATACTGTTTTTCACTCATTTCAATACTGGTTACCATATTTTCACGTGTTACAAACAGGTTTTAGGCTGATCAGTGGTTCTAGTTAGCGAGAGTTAACATTATTCAGGCTTTCTTATCGAAGTGTAAATAGTATTTTCCTTATTTAGTTAGGTGTTAAACATTCACTTATCATTGTTTATCGTTCTTTAAAGCTTACTGCATCGAAACTTTCGGATAATAACTGTCCTGTGAATTCATCACGATCAATATCTTCAAAGACTTGTACACATAATGAACTTCATTGTCTGCCAGAATATATGCAAATTCGTTCGCCGAATCTTGCCTCTATGGTTATGCCAGTGAATCAAATTGTTCGAGCATATGCTAACCGAAACAGCTTTAAATGTGAACAAGATATTTCTTCACACGGGGAATCAAAAGAAAATTTGAATTTACTAAGTGCTTATTTCAATGATCGGAATGCTTTCACAGATGCAAATTATTCAAGTGGGTTGAGTGATGTAGAATCATGGAGTCGTTCGCGTTTTTATGATTCTATCAAAAATGGATATCTTTCAGATAACCATCTCATAGAGGCAGCTTCAGAAGCACAGAAACTCAGTATTCGTAAAAGGGAATTGGAGCTGCGTTTAAATATGCCATCTGGTTCTAACAGCGTCTCTTCTTGTGGTACACAAGCAACTTCAAGTAAGTTTCTTTAAATTAACCTCGTGTACATCTTAGTCAATATATAAGTTGTAGGTAACCTGTTTGAGAAGTAGATAACTTTATCAGTTTTTAATTAATGTTCCGCAGACATTTGTAAGATAAACATAACAAGGTCAGGTATTTTATGAAAGTCCATCTATTCGAGTTTCCTTCCTTTTGCGGCAGCAAAGAAAGAGAAAGATCTTAGGTTTGGAATATTATCGATAATTAGATAAGAAAAACATTCAGAAAATGGGGGCAGATAAGTGTTGTGCAATTAAAGATACAGGCTTCACATGATAAGCAGTGAACGCGTATACATTTTTGTGATCTTTTATGAGACATTTTGCATGATGATAATACTAATAATAATAATCATTGTTAGAACATAAATTCTGTACGACATGGGCACCAAGAGATATACCGTACAAAATAGTTAAGTAATATCATGAAGATGGGAAAAGCAGTTTATTTAGAAAAGTCTCATCTTACTTTTCAGTAGCGAAAGAAACAAGAAAACTACATCATGGTCGCCACTGGTTTCTATTCTGAGCCGCGTCTGCTATTGTCTCAAGCCACTGAGTTATATAATCTCTCGAAACCCATCGAGGGAGTCATAAGAAACCTACAGATGTTAACCCAAGATAACTAGACTTCATTCCATGGCGCCACGTTATAAACTGGCCCCCTCACCGCTTCTTCCAACTAGCCCCAGCGCAAGCCACTTTGATGGCACCAATTCATCACTAAGTATAGGCACAAGCTTTTACCAATCTTGTAGAAGCACTTCGACGGTGCAAAAAGCATACCATATTTACAGATACTGAGGACCATTTGATTGAGTGCGATTTGAGTATTTTTTATGTTGTCGCACAGTAAAACAATATCGTCCACATATTCAAGTTCAGAAAGCCTTTTACCCAGTGGATAGGTCTGCACCGTCATCGCATCATTCTTTTAGGGTTGTCTCAAGAATGTCATTCGAAGTTAAAAAAGTATGGTGAAATCGTGTAGTCCTGCCTAATCCCAGTATTGGAGATAGATGACCATAAGCCTTAATTTTTTATCTGAGGTTTTGAGGGCTTTCAGGATTTTAATAATGTGACACGGACACCCCTCACTAAAAGACAATCCCAGAGTACACCCTTATCCAACGAATCAAAGGCAGGTTTAATATTGAGAAAAGCAACGATCGTTGGCATACAGTAAGTGTGACGATAATCAAGCATCTGGCGGAGGGTGGACATGTAATCTATGCATTTATGACCGGAACAAAACCCCTCCTGTTCCCTGTGGATCAGATTTTCAAACTTTTCGTACATCTTGCAAAATATGATAAAAGTCAACACTTTTTACGCTACCGGTATCAGACTGATTCCACGATGATCATCACATATATTAGATAGAGCCTTTTTAAAGTTGGGAGCAACAACTGCTTCGTTCCAGAGTGATGATACACTCTTAATCTGCCATACCTTCTACAACGGTGTAATCGCTTCTTTGACTACAGTCTTATCTTCATCCCCAAAAGGAGCCAAAGATAGATTGTCTCGGTTAGATGCCTCAAGGTGATTTAGAATTTGGAGTTCCCTACAGACCTCTGCTCCTCTAGGTGCGTTGCTGTTAACTGAAAATGGGGCATAAGGCATTACGGTGGGTGTTGGTGTGGCAGTCGATCATCCAAACTACTTTTCAATATGCTCTGTCCAGGGTTTCAGGCATCTATGAGGGTTAGTGATCAGCGTACTATCTGATTCACAGACTGTACTACTGACACCAGGCTTCTTGCTGTTGGTGGCTGGGATAAGCTGGAACTGCTTCTGATAGTTGTTAGATGGCTCTGCTGCTTCCATTTCACTCCCGCGTTCTGAAAATCAGGCCTCTCGGTGCTTAGGGATAATGATGTTTGATCTATTGCATAAGGGACGTAGCCATTTGCTCGCTACCTGCTGGAATACACTAACGAGAGTAAAGAAGTTGCAGGGAGCCTGTAGACGTTAAATGTTGACCAGGGGAGTGTTCCTAAAAGCCATTAGCAGCTTTTCTCACTTTTTTCGTGGCATCTTGTAGGTGCAGCCAATGCTGATCTATACTTCCTAGGGATTTATCACTAGCCTTGAATCTACTCCTTTTCAGCCTTTTGTTGGAAGGCTAGGTATAGCCAGTTTTCCTACATTGACCTGTTTACGATAGTGATCTTGGTGAATTGGAAGGTGCACTCATCACATACTAAAGGGTGTTCATAGTCCGAACAGGTTTACCGGAAGGAGCGACAGTCCTGAATGCAGCATCACTTTCGGTAGCTGATTTCAATGTGGTTTGTGTGAACCCAGGTTTGAATGGCGGAAGGCGGACGCCAAGTGGCACAATGACAATGGCTGTGCTAGGAGTTGATGCTGGGCAGAAGCAACTTGTGACCTGCGCAAATCTGCAGATCTTCCCATTATCTGACTTGCAGCCGATTGCTCTTCATTGGTCACCTAAACGATCCTCCCCTGGGCATGGACACTCGACCTATGTGTCCAATTCCCTATGATATTTGTCGAGCACATCTGGTAAGTCTCTCAGTTGGTGGTAAAACTCATTTGTAACTGCTTCAGATTGCAACCAGTTGGGATACAGGTAGAGATGAGGAAGAGACGTCGTTTGCCTTGTCAGTTGCTTTTCACTTTTAGCATAGAAATAGATGACTCCTGATGAAAATTCGTTTGGCTAGTGCAGCTTCGGCTCTGGGACTTAAGGCGACATGAATGCCAACAAGAGCAGTTACTGACGCCACATGATCCGCGGATAAGCGCACTGTGAATGCACTTTTTCAGTCGATAGAAGAGGAAGTTATTCAAACCCATTTATTTGGATCTTATGTGTGCTTCTAAAGTATAGCATGCATCAATGACAAGGCTTTCTAGAGTCCTGCTCAAACCTGTCTTGTCTGAACTACATCAAAGTTCAAAATTTGAAGGGGGTCAGCACTGCATGTGGTTTCAGCAAAGTTGTAACGTCCCAGCGAATCATCGTGAATTGCTACATTCCCGTGATTTCTGGTGACGAAGGTATGTTTATGCTCCATTCTTACGTTCTGGAATTATGGTTTCCCAACTCTCATAAATATACTCCGTGTCCACCAATCCGTTTATAGCTCTGAACGTTCGCTTTCATCTTTCCATTTTGTGGAAACCCCCCCCCCACTTCATGAAGGCATCAAGCAGGACTTCCCTGGCAGAGGCTGTGAACCTGGACCAAATGAGAGCGTTTCAAGAGGATGACCGGGATCACCCCACTTCAGGTTTTATCGGGGCATTCGGGCAGCCATTTCAAAAGCCTATCTAACTATCAATTTCCAATGTCTCGAGAGTCCTAACGAAGCAACTCCACATGTCTGATGAAAAGGTGGTGGTTTTGTCTTTTGCCTCCATGTCTTCATGTGACTGTCATCCCAAGTTGCGGGTGTTTTCACGATACTCTTAGTTTTCGAATTTCGTTGTAAAGTGAACGAACAACATTCCAATATAATCGAAACTACTCACGAGGGATGTATATAAGTAATAGTATACAGAGCAACATCGGGAAGTACTAGAAGTGGTAATGATTGGTTGGTAAAGGTTCGGTAGGAGAAAACGCAATGTCGAGTAGGAATGTGAAAGACAAGAATACTGCAAACTAAGGATGCCGAGCAAGGAGAGCATTTGCGAATGGTACTTTCATGTAAGGTCTACTACTTTTTCATCATTCCTCTGATTTCACTCATTTCAGTTTTCACAGTCGTAGTTCACAGTCTGTTGCTTGAGCATGTAGTGTATTTTGTGGAATCAGGTTTTATTAATAAATACACTTGTTTTTCACCCCTGGAGATTTCAGCAACGACGTCTAATGATAAGGTTTATTCCAAAAAGTTAATTTAATTAGTCATTCATCGTCATTTTCTTACCGAATCAATTTATGGAATTATGTGCTGTATATAGTAAAGCGTTCCAAGTTGTTCATCACTGTACTGTTTATATGAGAATGTAAGCACCACTTAAGTTATTCTTCCGTTACGAAACTATATTTAGCAGCTTTTTGTTCTCTCTTGATGTGTGGGCGTTAAGTTATTCGATTTGTACAAGCAAGGATGTAGTATAAATTATATTGAAGCTTTGATAAGTATGGTTTTATCATTACTCGCCTATCACTTGTGTGATTTGTGTTAGCCGTTATAGTAATCAAATAGCACATTTCAGCAATCGTTGGTTTAGGCTTTTAACTTCCAAGCAATGTCACAGATTTGTGCTCCGCTCTACTTACTTTTGGTCTGGACGGTTGGTTATCATTATAAGCGCTCGTATATCAAGCGTCACCCATAACCTAGTGCATATAAAGCCTGTACTACAATGCGTTGTTTTATCACTATTATTATTTGCAAACATGTAGGCTGCGACCCATACTTTATTACATAGGAACTCATGTTACTGCCTGATTAATCAAATGTTAACAGGTTTTGGGCTTGCAACACATTGGTCGAAAATCAATTTTTCAAAATAAGCTTCAGTGTTACAGTTACTGACTACATTTTTGCACCTCAGAGCGCCGAATCAAACACTCGATGAATGCAATCATAGTCCGAACCCTTCAACATTAAAAAGTCTGTAATATTAAACAGGCTACATAAGGAGCTCAGGAGGTAAGGGTATATTAAAATTTATTTGAAATTATTTGAACCTTTTTTCATACTATTCTTGGTAAAACGTTTAGAAAATTGACTAGCTAAAGCAAATAAATTCACCAGAATTTTCATTTTTTTGGAGTTTCATGGGACAGTTGGATATTTACTAGATCCTCGTTTATTTCTCTTTCTATTTGACTTGATGACTTGCAACGTGGAGTGACCGAGTGAATAATAAGAAAATGCGCGAACGATACTCATGAAATGAAACACTTGAAATGGCTATGAATTACGACTATTCCCCCTCGGTACCTTGTACTTCACTGAGCCACGAAAATATCAGAAGACAAAACTGCTGTATAACTGTAAGGAAGATACTTTATTCGACAAAAATACGCCATTTATATAGTTTTCATGAACATTTAAAACCACTAGGTCAAAAGTTAACTGATTTATTTTAACGGTCAGCTGTAGGCTAAAATTGCCCAATAAGGTTTTCCTGACCACACAGTGACATGCAACACAAAACTAAATACAAAAACTATCATGGCGGCTGATAACTTGAAATGTTGATTTCCATTTAGGCTGATTCTTACTTATCACACCGGATGACCTTATCCACATATACTAGTACCGTTGTATATAATCTCGCTTTTGGCATTTCGCTTATTTCATATAATTAGTTATGGATGATGGTAGGTGAATATTTCCACTGAGATGCGCTGTTTAGTTCTTTTTTAATCATCTGAGTAAAACCAACTTGGGATTGGAATTTGTTGATGTGGCTGTAGCTTTGGTAGTCTTTCAGTACAGTGTTTTCGGGAATGATGAACAGGTAGCATAACTATCTAAGGTTTCTTTTGATTTAATTTAACTGGTATACGTATGAAATCTGTGGCATTAATGTAGTCATAGCAGTAGTATGTTTTGTAGACAATAAATGCTTGTTAACTTGACTCTTCATTCATAAATATACTAATAATTTCTTCATTTTCTTATTTTATTTGTAGGAGAGAACTTGAACAAACACCCTACGCAGTTGAATCGTCGACCATTAACACCTAAATTTGAATTCACTCACGTTTATGATGGCTTATTACCACCTGGTTTAAAGAATACTAATAAATCATTAGCTAATTCAATGAATACTTCCCAGACAAAATTGAACTCCATCGGAGATGGTTTTGATGATAAGAACTCATCTTTATATAATTCAGTGCCTAATTTGCTAAATATTCATTCAAATCATTCTTATTCGGTGAATAATGTGACTTTGAATAAGTTTGACTCTGTGAACACGAATGGTAAACGATTTGAGCGTTTACGAAATCTCTTGACAACTCTTAAGGGAGATAATACAATGAATAAAGGAGAGGATGATAAATACTTCTATATGGATGAGAAATCATTGAAACATCGTATAGAGTGTCAGGCATCGAATGTAATTTCACCTGTATCCTTTTGACTAATTCTTTTTTTTTTTCATTTATACATATATTTCCTTTGAAATTGCTCATTATATTGCTTTCCCTTCCAATATTTTCTCCATGAGATCTCCATCACTGTTTATAGTTTTTCATCTTTTCTACTTACATATTGTTCTATTTACATTTTACTCGCCTAATTATGCATATTTTATGATATTTAAGTAACATACATTATACGTAGATTTGTTATTGCTTTTTTCCTTTCATATTTTGTAGAAAAATCACATCAGATGCTATCAGTTATAACTGTGAATATAGCTTATCATAAGAATGACTTATCACTTCATTGTTAAAATGATTCCATTGTATTAGTGTTTTCCTGACTGTCATTATTGTTACTACTTTAACTGAATACCCTTTTTATTATTTTCATTATTATAGAGAGAGTAAACTGTATATTCAGTTTGTTTCTTCTTGCTTTAGTAAAACTATCCGGATAATTATTTTCAGTATTTTCTCATTGATTCTATTGTTTTCCTTATTATATAATGGTTTTTCTTCTTTTGTATTTATTGATGAACGATGATGTTTGCATTAGCGATTGGGGGTTTCATTCGATCAAGGTATGATAGTGTTATTTAGTCCATTATATTGCTGTAAAGTTGATGCAAGTTGTTTTCTAAGTGTTTTGAAGCTGATCGAATGTAGAGGCAATTCTTTTTGGCCATAGACACACATATTACCAAGGTATGCTTACGATCGTGATTAACATCATATTTCTTCTGAGACACTGACCTGAATTGTCTGGCAATATAGTGATGGATGTAAGTCTTAAAACTTAGACTAGACGAATGAAATCAATCAATCAGTAGATTATATAGTAGGCAGTATTCTGTACTTATGAAATGCTCACTAAACTATGAATTATAATCGCTTTATAATGATTATCAATGAGCATAATCTCTTCATCATGCTGGCTACATCTAAACATGATATGCAAAATACAGCACAATACACTTTTCTGTCTGATTTCGCTGAACAGTAATAGCTGAGTACTTTATAACACTCGAAGCTGGCAACAAATATTAACCGCGTAATACAAATAAGCTGTTGATTTACATGCAAAACGTTTTACGCCACAGTGATTTATTGAAGTAGAGTATACTTGGTGCGAGGTAAGAAAACACCAGTTGGGCGCTGAACTTCAACCAAGAGGACGTATTCACATGTAGACAGGTACTGTTAATATAGAGATTTATTAAAAACTGACTTGTTATGCTTCTAATACAGCCCCAAAGGGTTTTTTTCTGCTGGTTTACCGTTTCTTGTGTGGATCTTTAGGGCAGTTCGGCAACACGCCTTCAACAAGAATCCGGATAACGTTTAATGGTGTTTTCGGTGTCATTGATTCCTCTCGTAACGCCATCAAGTTCCGATAATTTAAACTCTTGAGTTTAACTCTACGTGGGCTGAACTCATAGCGTTAGCTTTGGAATTTTTTCAGTGCAGCATCACAAACTGATTGTTTTATAACTTTCCCTTTAAGTAGTGCCCTTAGTGCAATATTCAGCCAACTCCATTTTTACAAAAGGTACATATTTGATGAGAAACTTTATTTGAAAAGGATTACTTTGTTTTTCTTTCAAAAACTCAGGCATTTTATGGTTTTACTAATAGTCTAAGATTATGGTTTTTCTATGTCATTATGTGGACTTGTTGTAGTCATTTCAGAATATCGAACTAACTAAAATACATGTGTACAGGATCAATATAAGACCTGGCTTTAATGCGTAATGGTTGAAGTTGACACACCTTATCGGGGCATTCAGTGAGAATGCACTCAGATTAAATATAAAGAAGAGTGGTCCAAAAGTGGTAGAATATCGTCAAAATAGAACAAGGGAGAATGAGAGGATATTAAAATTTAATTGGACGATTAAGGTAAAGATAATATGTGGATACATCTGTACTGCATATCGATTATGAGCCATATCATTTAAAGTTTTCAACCACTGGTTTTTATTGCCATGCAGACCCCAACCGAGAAGTCTATATAGCTTGAATCGACAGTCAAAGACTTCGGAAACTGATACCATCTTTAGTCCGGCCACCTTTAACCTTTTCTCGTCTGTACCTACTTCAGCTAAAATTGTGGGATGAAGCAGACGGTGACTATGTATGCGTGGCACACGTCTCAGGTACCTGAGTTGGTGAAAGTTCATAACACTGAATCTCTTTTTCTGCCTTGAATTCTACGCCTGACTTCTGCGTTACTCACGTGGTGACAATATGACGTGCGTCTTATGCTACGAAAGCAACGATGGTCAAATACCTGAAGCCTTATTATATCCTTCACCTTTAATGGTCATGTTTCACAGCCACAGAGTATAACAGAGCGAAGTGCAGAGCAGTACACTCGACTCTCAATAGACAGTCGGATATCACGGTGAAGTGAGTTGGCGAAAAACAGTCGAGGACTTTGGATCCGTGCAGCGAATTCGTTGATCACTTATCAGTGGTGATTCCACTTCGTACGTAAGTGAGGCAGTCAACATTCTCAACGGCTTCAATCCCTATTGTTAGACAAGGCACCGCTGAAGATCGGTCCTGGATCATGAGTTTGCATTTGGGTGGCGAGACTAACATAAGTGCTTCTATGATGAAGTTGAATAAGAATTGAGAGAGTGCTCACCTTTGACGGACACCATTTGACGTAAATGACTCATCGAAAGCTTTAATACGCTCATGGTTGTTCGAGTGCAGTCTTCAACAGGATGATGTGCTGGCCCTGCACCCCTTTCAATGAAGAACACTACCATATGAACTCTTCGTCGACGGAGTCACATGCCCTCTTCAGGTCGAGAATAATTGTGTTGGTTGTCGGTAATTGTGCTTGTGCTCTTGGAACTGCGGGAGCTTGAGTATCTAGCAGATATAATCATGGCTAGGTCTGAAACCTACCTCGTTTTCTTATGTTTATTTTTCCTAAGCTCAACTTAGTTGCCGTTTGAGAGCGCTTGGGATGCCTTTTTTGCCATGGTGTCTAGGATTCCAGATTATATTGTTCCAACGTGAAATCTTAGACATAATGTTCATCAGCCTGATTCCCTGTTATTATCACTGGAGGATTTCTCCCCTTTCTTGAAGGCTGTAACAGGCAGTCACTGTGACCAGTCAGAGGTGATCAGATCTTGCTGCCATAAACTAGCTGGTACTCCACTTAATGTGACCACTAATTTTGGACTGTCGTCCTGAAATACCTGCTGTCCTGCCGCCTTTCTTCATTTCAGATTATTTATTTCTTTGTCGAGTAATGGAGATCTATTCAGGATCCGACTGGATAGTGGACAACATTAGCTGGAGACCAGCTGAAGTATCTCAGTCATCTCCTGTGAGTGAATTACTGATGTTTTCGTCTCACTGACCTTTTCACCTCAGTTTCCTTAATAGGTCTCAATAACTGTCTACTGTTATGTATCGCCACTGCTTCTGTCTGTTTAACATTCGCTACCGACCACATCTTGGAGCCAGCAGGAATGTGTCCACATGTATCCATTAGTTCATACGGAGCTGATGAAATCCATCGACTTTTTATAACAGCTTTCTGAGAGTCAGCTACGGTTTTCAACGCTGTTTTCATTGAAGACTGGAGATGACTTCAGGCTTCTTCTGCTTGAGTAATGGTGTTCTGTACTGATAACTGTCTAGCTATTTTCGTACTGAAAGCATCCCTAGTATTCTCATCATCTGGTAGCACTCGCAATAGTTTTGCTTCTGTAGTTTTCCTGGGTCCATTTAGTCTCAGACTTACGGATCCTAGAACCAATACGTGATTCTTGTCTACACACGTGTTCCAGGAAGCACAGGAATCTTCCATCGACATTCTCTAGCGAAAACTGATAGAAATATGGTCTATATGTGGATTAGTTAAATAATTTGTGCGTTAACTTTTCTATTGTCTAAATGAGTGGTTAACAAGTAATCATAATTTGTTTTGACGTCACCTTGATAATAACAGCTGACTGTGGTGTGACTTTATTTTTTAATCTAACGTCTGTTTAAGAAAAGGAAATTCTTTTTTGACGTTAATTTAAAATGATAAATTTTTGTGCTAGTTTTATTAAACAACATTTACACTTAGTATTAGCTAAGTTTATAGTGTTGATCGTTATAGCGTGATTTTAGGCTTCGTTCAGGCTTTCTATATTGGTTAGTCAGAATTAATCATATTTTTGAAATAACTGATTCAGCTTTATGAATTTTGATAAAGCAGTAAGACTTAATTTGTCTCAATCGTCTAACGCATTCGCGCAAAACATTTCGAACGACCTAGTCACACATGTACTTATCATTTATATGAAAAAGTACAGAGTTAAAGGGTAGGAAAATAATTATCAGTCAAATGAGAGTCTTTATTTACGGTCGATATAATAAAGATCAATAAAGCAAAAACAACGACAAATTTTTTAAATACTACAATGACTTTGGTTTCAAAGCTGAATTTTTGAAGGCTCAATGATAGCTTAAACTTCCTAATGGCTAGTGTCTCAAAAAACTATAAAATACATCCCCAATAGTTCTTGTAGATGACGTTTCCACGTCCACTTTATGCTGTGTTTCAATAATATGTTTAGCTATTGAGGAGCTCGGACGTTTGTTTCTAGCATCAGTTGGGTCAGGTGTTTCTGAAGCCACTTTGGAATGTGTTCTGTGGTCCTTATTTTCAGTGACTTATGGGTCCTCCCTATATATGTGTGGCCACACGTACATTTAAATTGGTAAAGACACTGGGATGAGACTTCATCTTCCATCTGTTCCATGGACTTTGATGGGTTATAGGCTTGGAATTTTCAATTATTTGAACCTTAGCTGCATAATGTTTTCTTTATGTTTTCTTTATGACAGCGTTAAGTCTGTCTGACTATTAAGACATTTTCATCGCCACTGTATGGTAGTTTGATGAAAACATCTTTAGGAATTTTCCGTGAGGGAACTTGACAGACGCAGTGGCTAACCACTAATTATTCGTACTTGTAGTGTACCAACGAATGCGTGACCAAGGAAGAGTACAATAGCGTAGTCAGTTGAAATAATAGATTAGAGAAGTCATGCCAAAATACCGATGCGTTCCAAATAGCTGGCTAGGGGGTCGATTACGAGTAGTGCAACGTAACACGACAACGTGCCAAGTGGCGTGGATGCTTGACCATGCGCCTTCAGCTTAGCAAGTTCGATAAAACTATGAAGGTCAGAATTAGGGTTGAATTTCGTCGAAGCCTAGTGTATTGATTTTGGGGAATGATGTGTCGCTACACATCTTTCTTAGGAACAGAATCCACAGTTTATCTCAGTATTCTGTCCACTTTATCCTTATTTATAAACGTCGTTTTGTAGTTGTTCTCAGTTAATATTTCCGTCAATAATCTTGTCTCTTCTTCCAGCTCATCAGCTGTGCATATTCAATGAATTCGGTTAAATAAGCACTTAACCGAACCTCGTTTGTAATGAAACGGATAGAAACTGTAATAGTTTAAATATTACCCTGTCCACATAGACTATCTATAAGTAGATCGTTTCATTGATTCATCTTGCCGTCGACTGATTATTACTTCTATGAAAGATTGGCAGTTATCATTCTCTTCTACATTTGTTGGAGATATCCTGTCCTGTAATACGTTCATTCGATTCCGAAGTGAAGAAGAACAACACTGATCATCACTTATGATT